GGGGAGGCATGGCCGTAGTAAAGGGGGGGCAGGGCCATGGGCCGCCCCTGTGATTGGCAACAAACAAAACAAAAATTTTTCCTTGCCTCGTCGACGGTCTTCACAGCGACGGGCCACAATTCCTGTTACTTCTGCATCTGCTGAACGAACAATTCTCTAAAATGAGCATTGTCAAGTCTAAACTTCGTTTCTACAATGACCCCAAGCCACGATTCTCTGCTCTCATTCTCCTTTTCGTTGAACAGAGTTAGTGAAATGACATTTAATGTCACGAAATCCTCAAAATGTTCTGTGCAAAATCGACGAGAAGACTTGACTTTGGATTTGAGATTTCTGCAGCAGACAAAAAACATGACTAAAAGAAAGGAGGATAATTCTTCTTTTGCTCAGATTATGTGTTGTTTGCAAGTTTGCTTTGATTTGAATTTATTATGTTCTGAACTCTTATTGACAGAAGAAAAGAATGGAATGCTTTTGTGAATAACTTTGTATATTTCGAACTTATAAGACGGCCATTTTTGCAGAAACCTCGGTTTTTATTTCAAATCGATTTCAACTACGCTATTTTAAGTAACTGTTCTCTAATCAGGGGAGGCAAAAACAATTATTTTCATGGTAAATTTCCTTTTTATTTTAATAGAGCGGCTATTTTAGCCAGCACCTTTGTTTTATTTGAAATCAAATCAATATGGTTTTTAGTTCTTCATCAGAGGAAAGCAAAAAACATTTTTTATACGAACAAAAATGTTAATGTGATCTTTAACGCTATTGTTATTCTAAACGATGTAATAATCTTTTGTAATTTAAATTAATTGGCATGTTTATTTCAGTGGAGTTCCAACACATTACGCTGTTTTTCCGTAGATCTTTATTTCGATTTCATTCAATATGCCTCTACTTTTTCAACAAAATAATTTAACTTTTAACTTTTATATGAGAAACTTGAAACAGTTTATGACGGATAAATTGCAACATTGCATGGTACTGCTAACAACACAAATCAAACTAATTCCAATATTCCGTCAGTGCTTGAATGAGGACATAGGCCTATAGGCTAAGGGGGCCTTAGCTACGCCAGTGCCTCCCCCCACGCCCGTGGGATAGCATTACCCGTTCTTTACTGTCCAGTTACCGGTAGTTATTACGGAACGTTGGGATTATTGCATAAGGCTACACTATATGAAATTTTTAATCTTCAAACTGCAGGTGTATTGGTTTTTTTATTTGTGAGTACCTTTGCATAGTTGCATAGCGTATAGGAAGCCTATGTGGTGGCAAATGTGTAATACTAATAGCAAACCGAGTGGCTTGACGAGTTGATGGAAGAGGTAGTAAAGGACAAACAGCAGTCGCAGAGGGAAAATGATCATATTTAGAATAGCATAATATATATAGTCATATAATTAAGCAAAACATATAATTAATGTAAAGAAAAATGTTGAATGAGAGACATTTTATTTTGGTTAACAACCTTTTAATATAAATATCATCAAAATAGAATAATCTTTATATACAGAAAAGTATTATCCTCTCTTGATATCATATCATGGACATATGAACTTAGTGTGGAAAATGTTCCATTGCACCATTCTGAAACACGTTTTCCACACATCATCATGAACAAGTTCAAGTGATGTCAGTTTATGTACTCTTCACCTTAATTAACAGATTAACAAGCAATATGACAAGAATCACATGCTGGCTATATAATATAATATAGCCAGATATAAAATAAATTTCATATCAACTAATAAGCATGTCTTTTATGTAAACCATAAAGCTTTAGTTTTTCTCCTCCCCACGTGTAAGGTAGGCAAAAACACTTAGATTCGTTCCTGTGCTGTCGATGGAGGAATGGCCACATGCTAGTGGCATGAGATGAAAGAGACCTTTTAACATTTAGACCCTCATATATATTTTCAGAGGATTTTCAAAAAGTGACAATGAAATTTCTTAGAATTAGTCTATAGGCAGGATTACACAGCATATAGGTAACATGATGTAGTATAGTATGTTAAAATTTTCACGCATAGAGGTTGTCTTTATCTGCCACCATGTGAGCTATGACTTGTTGAAGACTTGTTTCTCCTTTGTTTGCTTCTTGATGAAACTGCAAGTAGAAAACAACTCTGATCAAGAACAGTAAAAGGGACATATTTCAACTATGGTGTTGAGCAAAGATGCAGTCGCAGGATAAAGAACCACGATTATGCATGGTCTTATATTGAAAAATTCTGACAGTACGAGAGCAAGTGCAAAAACCTCTGCTCTAAAAAGAGACAAGTTCAAAGACATGTGACATGTATACTTCTGAACCAGCACTTGTTAAAGCGAACAAAGAGAATAAATAATGTACACTTTACCAATGTGGACTTCAATCCTCCCCAATAGGCATTCACAGAGGAAGTGTCGACATACATATTCTCAGTGTAGCAGACAAGCAGAAGAGCCCGTTTTTTGTGGATCTGACATCGCTGCAGAACTGAAATGAAATCAGAATAAATTAAAATCCAATGCAGCAGAAACAATGGATGATACTACGCTGTGAAAGCAAGTCAGTAGATGATGGCTGAACATTCCAAGCTTCAGTGAACTGCTATTATTAGCTAGAAATGTTAACATTCCTAATAATAGGAATTCCTTAATAATTATTATGTGCAGCATATTTCAACTGCTTAACTTCAGAGATTAAAATGACAGAAATGTGTAACAGGGGCAAGGCAATTGGTGGTGAAGCACAAAATAACCTTCTATAACTCTCCAGGAAAGAAGTGAAGGTGAAAATTCCACCTCTGTTAATCTTGACTGCACGTTAGGATATGAATCCGGCACAAAACTGTGCCAAGCTTTTGTGATATGACATGACTACCAATTCAGCCTCATCATGGAATATGGGAACCGCTCCAGCAAAACCAGGATTAAGTAGAAAATTCTACAAATTGAGTTATGTGCATATCTGAATAGATCGTTTAATTACCTTTAAAATGATATATAATATTTGGCTATATCTAAAGAATTGACCGATCTACAGCAATTTGAAGATCGGAAACAGACTTATTCCAGAATATGCAGCTTTTGAGATAAAGCGTTCGGGGTAAGGGGCCCAGTCGGGGATAAACGGCTAGGGGACCTCAGGCACTTTTTTTTTTGAATTAAAAATGACCATAATAATCTAGAGATATCTGAACCTATATATCCGGATTAAATATGCACTTAAAAACTTATTTTTGTCCAGGTAGGCCATTTTCAGCATTGACATGTGTTCGTGCTCATTACTCAAAACAATGACTTGCGACTTGGTCCGTATTATGCTGGAGCGGGTCACACATCACCATGTGAATGTGCGATGATGTGAGCACATGATCACACTCACCAGCAGCAGCCAACCCAGAGACAATATTCGGCTGCTCCAAGTGCGGACATGGAAGTGGAGCCGTCCATTCCGTCGTTGCCAGTCCTCTGAGAACAGGAGGCTCTAGTGCCTCCTCAGTATGCAGACTGCTGATGTGGCCAGAGCAGAGGATCAGAATGTCATTTCCCGTGACCAACTACAACACACCGCGTGCTGTTATGAATTGCCCATTTCCATTAGGTGTCAGAGGAAATGTCAATGATTCACAACTAAGAACTTCATCTCAGCCAAAAACTGAAATTACCACCCCAACTTATTAAATTATTGTCTAAGCCGTCAATGTAACCTGCAGTGTCAATTAAATTTTAAACTGAGCCCGACATCTTTTGGTAAAATCTTTTAACTATTAATACAGCATACTACTCTTGTGTTCAGTTTAAAAAAGCCTGAATGACTACTGATAGCATTACCTTGTCTACTAGTGAATATGTAGCATGTGGAGGTGGGTCTACATCTGAGGTAAAAATTCGTTTGTCGATGCCATCAGATGAATCCGAGTGGCTGGTATACATGCAGGCTTTAGCAAATGCCGAAAGAAGACAGGATGTTATTTGGAGCCCACTGCACTAATCGTGTAATATTGACATTATCAATGAGTTACCAATAAGAGGTTAGCGATATATACCATATGTCTCATTTAGATTGATAATCATTGCCTGATAATGCCTTACCTCTAGCCTTATGTTTAGGAGTATTAGACTGCGCTTTTCTCCTCGTGAGGTATGATTCAACAAATGCTGAAATAATAGAAGATTATTATATCCCTTGGGAATGCTGCATATGCATACAATAACATATATGCTGCACTGATGATATCAAGAAAATTCCCAACTTGGTTATGGGTCAACCCATACATACATCATCATTTCCAGTTCCACATACCACCACCATAATTCTAACCTGGTTGATCGCTACATAGTACCCCCAAACTCTCAAGAAATAAAGAATGTATCATAAGCCCAGTACTTGTATATTCAATTACATGTTGATAGTGTTACCTGCTGCGACATTTCCCACTGCTACCACTAGGCTGAAGGGATGTATACTCGGAACAGGATGATAGCGTGTAGCATCATTGCAGTCTTCTGTTGTCCACTTGAAATCATGGGCCCTATACGTAACGTACAAAGTAGTAAAGTACAACATAATGAACATTTAGAAAATGATAGACATGATAATAATTGTCATAAACAGAGCCGCTGACATTATACATGGTGTATTGGTGCGATCATACCACTCGTCTTCGATATCTTCATCGTCTTCTTCTTCCTCTTCTCCAGCCCGAGAAGCTACAGGTAATATTTCTCCAAAGAAAGTCGCCATGCTGATGCAAATGCACTGACGGCAGCGCCACCCAGCGTCCCGTGTTGAAGTCGTTAGGCGCTGCGGTTAGGTGCAGACCACTGATCTCTACTATACTAATATATATTATATTATATATTATAATTATATAATATATAATATTATAATATATATTATAGTTAGTATAGTAGAGATCAGTGGTGCAGACCCGTATGTGCAGACCTGTGCTGTATCCATAGAAATAATATACTATAGTTAGCCTCTAGGCTCTATGTAGGTAACATAGTAGCTAGTGACTCGATCTCGATATATTTCTATGCTTCTATGGTTGTATCAGATAATTGGCCACGTTGATCTGTATATTAACTTACCGCTATACTTCTATACTGGACACTGGACAGCGCTACCTGTCTTATTTTATAGCAAAATCTGCATGTGTGAGCTATCAGAAAAGTTGAGAAAAGAAATCTCCGGGAACAATACAAATATCTACGATGTACATGTGTATCTATATTGTTGCAATATTGTTACATAATATCATTATATCACGCGCACAAACGCACCCACATGCACTCGCAGGCATTGCCCATACACGCGGGAGGGAGCGTGGCATTTGTGGGTGGGTGGGGGGGGGGTAGTCGTGGCTCTACGGTTGCTAGTTGTGTGCGTGTATCCGCGTGACACATACTATGGAAGGCCCTTAATTCCGCGCAAAACCGTATCTATTTTAATCGCGCTTAAAAGTATTTTTAAGCGCGGATTGAATTCCAAGCCATCATAACAGTGGCTTTTTACATCGCGATTAAAATAGATTTTACAGCACGATAAAAATAGATTTTAAGCGCGATTCAAAATAGGTGAGGTTTTTTGTACGTGTTGTGTGGTGTGTGTGTGTGTGGTGTGTGTGTGTGTGTGTGTGTGTGTGTGTGCGTGTGTGTGTTGGTGTGTGTGTGTGCTGTGTTGTGCGGAGTGTGTGTGTGTGGGGGGGAAGGGCAGGGAGAGGGGGTGTGTGTGCGCGCGCGCGTGTGTGTGTGTGTGTGGTGTGTGTGTGTGTGTGTGTGTGTGTGTGTGTGTGTGTGTCGGTGTGTGTGTTGTGTGGTGTGTGTGTGTGTGTGTGTGTGTGCTGTGTTGGTGTGTGTGTGTGTGGGAGATGGGTTGGGTAATAATGTGATTAATATTAAGCAGATAAAACAGATTAGCCTAACGTCTATATTATAACTGAACACACGCAACACGCATAATAATAATAATTGATTTATACGTGCACATTGCTACCATACAAAACTATGTTTACATCAGCAATAGCACGCGCATGGTTTATTTGTGATTCATTGCAATTGGCCTTTTGATTTTAAATTTGATCAGTTGACGTCATGAAATTATCACGCTTACGTTGCAAACGATCTATGTACATAAATAGAATACGCGCCTATAAGATAAGTAACGCAAGTAACCACACACACACACACACACACAACATCACACACACACACAACACACACAACACACACCCATCACACACACACAGCACACAACACACACAACACACACACAACACACACTACACACACAACGACACACAACCACACACACACAAACACACACACCACACCACACACACACAACACACACGAGGAAACTACCTTATTTTAATCGCGTTAATACTATTTTAAGCGCGATTGAAGTCCAGCCAATTTAGAACATCGGTTTTAATCGTGCTTAAATTATTTTTAATCGCGATTAAAACCACTGTTCTGATTGGCTGGAATTCAATCGCGCTTAAATAGGTAAGGTTTTGGTTTTGGCGGTAATCGGCCTCATACTATGTCAGACGTGGCGCTGCAGGACGCGTGTTTTGCTCCTCTCCTCGCTCCGCTCCTGTCACCTCTCTCCCCGCGCTC